CAGCTTCACCCCCTGCCACAGGAGCAGAGGGAAGCAAAGGCGCTCAGAGGCCAGCACACAGCTCCAAAGGCAGGGAGGAAACCCCATCCTAAGCCCGGGGCTGCTCAGGGGAAGCAAGGAGCGGTGAAACGGCACGGAAACGTCCCCAAAGGCTCTGGGGAGGCAGAGCAGCAACGCGCTTTCCGTGTTAGGCTTTGCTCGCCGGGGGGAGAGCCCCAGGGCTTAGCCTCCGCACCGCTCGAAGGGTCCCATGCGTGACCAAAGCAGGGGAGCGACGCATCCCCTCCCCCGCAAACACACCACCACCCCACACCGGCTCTCGGTAGATTTGGCCGGGAGAGGAGAACTCCTGCAAAGCAATCCAGCACCGGGCAAGGAAACCTGTCCCTGGCTCAGCCCCAGCAGATCTGCTGGAGAACGTCGTGCTCGCAGCCACAAATCACTTTGCAATTAAGGGCGAGGCGCTGCGGTGGGACAGGGCGGGAGTTACCCACGAGGTGGGGAAGCAGGAGCTGACAAACCAGCCCAGGCACCAGCCCGCGCCCAAAACCAGGGCACGTGGGTGCAACAGGCTCTGCTCCGTCTACGCAAGCGCCCTGCGAGTCCCGCACAGCCCCTGCCCGGGGCCGGGGCTCAGGGCTCTGAGTGTCCAGTGAAACCTCAGACCTGGCCCAGCCACCGCTCAGAAGGGGACACGAAGTGACCCCAGGGACAAGCACCTCTGAGCCTTGGGTCCTTGCCCCGCAAAGCCCCGCGGAAGGTGCTTACGGACGGCTTAGGACCGCACCGAACAAGCTGTTACGGGATAAGCAAAGGGCACCTCTTGGCTCTTCTGCAAAGAACTTGTGCTCAGCAGCCGCGGGGGGAGCAAAGAAACCAGAAGAAACGTTATTTCTTCAGCAAAATCTCCGTGTCTGGGGGTAACGCTGTGCTGGAGCACTAGGGAAGCTCCCTCCTCCTCCAGGCAGCCAGGGCGAAGCCAAGGGACAGGCAGGCACAAGCCCCAGGCCATCCCTGAAGCCGCTGGCAGATTGCAGTGGTCGTGTTTCTGTAGGGTCTACTGAATTAAGGCCTACGGCTCCAACAACAAAATAATCACGAGACGTAACCCCCTCCTTTCCCTCCTGTCTCTACACGAACACACACACACGTGTGCGGCCACCCCTGGCGCCGACCTCGCATCGGCCTGCACCCAGGGTAAGATTCGGGGGCCCTGGGGCTCGGACCCCGCGGCTCAGACCCCATGGCTCAGACCCTTTTGCCTTCCAAAGAGCGTGGAGGGCGCCGAGTGGGAGGCACGGGGCTGGAAACCCAGAAGCGCTGGGGGCTTGCCAAAGACCGGGCACGAGCTTGCTGCTCTGACCCTGGCGGCTCACGGGCAGCCGAGCGCTGCTTCTGCTGATGGTTTTGGGCACCAGCCGGGGCCTCTCTCCTCTCCCCAGCTGCCAGTTCGTGGGGAACAACATCCCCGAGCCTTCCAGCTCCCTGCCGAGTACGGCTGAAACTGGACAACATGGTCAGGAGGCGTTAGGGGAGGGGGTGGGAAGCGAGAGGCAGACAGACAGATGGACCAGCAGAAGGCACCGTTACATAAAATATGTTCCCTGAAGCGGCTGGGATAAAAGCACGAACGCTCCAGCTCCACGCGAAAGGCAAGGGGCTCGTGCATGCACACTGGGAACTCCCGTGGGTGCCGCTCGGAGCTGCAGCCGATCCCTCCAGCCTCTCCCCATCGCACCGGGAAAAGCCGGGACACCGGGAACCGCTGGAGGAAGGGTCCAGACACCCCCTCGGAGAGCGCGGTGGAAAAGCCGCTCACCTACAGCTACGCTGCGGCGCAGGGCGTGTGGCCTCTCCTTCGCCCGCAGCGCGGGGCTCGCACGCCCCTTCCATATTAACTCTGCGTTATTATATTAGCGCCGCGGTGTTGGAAAAGCCCCGAGGAAGCTGCCCAGACTGATCCAAGGCGCTGCACCGATTTGTCCTGCTCATCAACGTGACTCCCCTCCTCCAGCTGTGCCAAGCACACGGCCCGTCCTCGGCGGCAGCGCCCTGGGGACGGCAGCGGCGAGGGACGCCCAGCCTCACGCGCCGTG